ATTGTCTTTCTTCGCCTGCTTCACAGCTTCATGAGCTCTACCCATAAATATCCAAAACCACACCTGTTTTAAGCTAGGAAGTTAGTTAGTTAGTAAGTTAAATCAGCCTTTGGAAACCCAAATACCGGCTTGCAGTGCCCTTTATTTAAGGTCCTCCTTCTAAGACCTTGCCACTGATTTCCGTGTTCAGTTTTTACACTTACCATCTGAATTCCATGCTAATGTGCGTTAAGGCAGGTCCACGCGATTCTGCATCACTTCGGATTCGTTCACTAGTTTCAGGAATTACCTTTTATAAGCACTGTGAGATTCTGGCTGTAGTTAAATACCTTCTGATTTCCCTTCTCGTGAGGAAAATGCTACACACTGCAAGGTCGTGGGCCGACATGGCGAGGATCCCAGCTTCCACTCGTTTCTTACTCATAGTCCCCTGCTTCCGTGGATGTCTTCTAGCTCATTCAGTCCTGTTGGGAAAATAGTCATGGTCTGAGTGATGGCGTGTTGACTTAAAGGCACCGTTTTCGATAAATTTAGGGTACCCTTTCTTTGACGGGAATTCATAGAACTCCTCTAGAATAAAGCGATAACAACGAAAAAAGCGCAAAAAACGATGAACAAAAAGAAATTGAAAGGGTCAAAAAATAGCTGGAAAGGGGGGTTGGACGAGTTTCACATTGGAAGAACGGCGGTTAAGGGAGTGTTCGGGTGAGTGCANGAAGGTGAGGCAATGTCTGCAATAGCAGACAACACATCCAAGCCGACAACTTCGCTCCAATGCGAAAGTGGTGAAGGACAATTAGAACTCGTAGTCAGCCTAGCGAGGGGCGGAGGCCTCCCGTCCCCCACTGTTCCTGCCCTTATTGTGCCCTATCCAGACCGTTTTCCGACCTCATTCCTGCACAAATGGTATCAGAGGGGGCGTCGAATTCAAACCATGTGCGGATCTCCGAAACCATTTTTTCGTGAACAGTGCCTTTAAAACCATGGACTGATCCAATCTTTTTTGTGGCCGGACAACTAGATCACGGTACTCTTTTATGTTTGGACACTTCTTCATTGTAGTGGGATTCGACATCTGCCCCAATTCTACGCTCTTATCCTTACCAATATGTTCTAGAACGCATATCGTAGACTACACATAGACCCACACTTGAGCTTGAGTTTCTACGCTATCAATGAATTATTTTTTGATTTCAAAGATGTATCGCTAAATCGTATTCTCCACAACGATGAAGCACTCTTCGTTGATCGAAGCACATTTCAGTAGTCTGTTGCGGTAAACATTACTCGCTCACTCCTCAACGAAGAGTACAGCAGCCCTTTATTGGAGGAGTGAGCGAGGAATTTTGAAAGGCGATGACATCAAAGAAAGTCTTCTTGTTGGCCTGCTTCAAGATGGTTCGGTCGGCAGTTAAAGGCTAAGTTCAGACTGTCTGACGTGACATCGAATGAGAGGCGTACACGTCATTGCAAACCCGCCAGAAAACTTCCATGCTTTGAAAGTATTCTTCCCCGCCTCGGCTCTTGTACCAGATCTCTTTAGGTTGCCGTTTGCACTCAGAAATCATGCACCCGTGTGCTCCGTTCCAGTCCCTCTCTGTGCGTGTTGTAGCTCGGATACCGAACCCGTGGTAGCTAGCCGATTGAGACTGTGGTGGCCTCCTCGGTTAACAAAGGTTCCTCGTTCGCCTCCTTACAGTTTCGAGCATGGTGGTAGGGTTTGGGAAGGGTGTGGTATGTTTCCTCCTCCTTAAAGGCGCAGTTACTATAATTTCGACATTGAAAAGTGGAGTTTTGATGTAGAACAGTACATCGGTGGCGAAGAAAGGAAAAAATCCGTCCATTTCGTGAATCATAAGACTTTCTATAAGTAGTAGAAATAGAGGTTGTACGAGTTCGCCACGGCGGAAATGGCGTGTAAGGGGTGTTTGGACGACATTTCACTTGCTCCAATTGTGCAAAGAGCCGGTGCCTTATACATCACATCAAGCCGAAATTGTCTGAAACTGCCTTCACTGACGTAACGACTCATGACAACTTGTTTGAACTTCCTACATGGGAATCCCCTAAGAAAGTGTAGCCTCTACGGCGCTAGTGAAACTCGTCCGCTATGGTGTGGCTTTAACACGATACAATCTTTGGCCCCTTATTGTGCCCTAAACAGAACGTTTTTCGATCTTAAAAGGGCAGCGATGGTACGAGGCTGGGTCTCGAATTCATACTATGGAGGAATCTGAGAATCCATTTTTATCGTGAAATGTGCCTTTAATGAGTACCCTTGAATTTCAGAAGTTTGGAATAAGAGCAGGTTCATCATCTGCGCGACATTGGTACTGACACCACTCTCTAAAGACAGGTCACCAAAGGGACCATAGGGACCAAATGCGGGCCTCACTGGGCGGAGGCATGAACCTATTTTGTTAACTACTTCCCCATACTCAATTCTGTCTAGCTACTAACAGAGTTCATTGAAGTCTCTCATGGCCCCGTTAAAGACGCATTCTGTATTTGCTTTGATGAACATGTTGTATGAATATGGAGACATCGAGGATTGCTATTCTTCTAGTAAAACTTGTTTCTCTGCTTCTCCCATTTACATCTCAACATCGAGCCGTTTAGCAAGAATTTTTTGCCATTAGCTGGCATTTGTCGTGGCTTGATTTTATGGCTAAGACAATGATAGACTTTAAACGCTGAATGGCGAGTTCTAGGTAATGCCACTGACTTCAGCCGTCTTCAAGGATCGTTTTCGTTATGTATTACTGATCTTGGGTTTTTTCTGCCTAACTTCAATTTGCTCAAATTACATCATCATCAATTTCACATTCATTTGCATGGCTCATGATGACTCAGGACAGGTCGAGAATGGAAATCGGGTGAGTTTTTAACATATTGAAACTCGGCTATTGTTATCAACTGATGTTGTCTTATGGTGAGTAGGCAGTCCTATTGTGGAAAGAGATGAAGAGAAATGCATTGGTCTTCATATTGTTATCGTTTTCTTTGGGTCTGAAAAGTCAAATAGAAAAAATGCTTTACAGCACTTTGCTGTACAGGTTTGATATTATAAAACCGCTCTATCCCATCGGCAACGTGAACAATTGTTGTCTTCAAAGATCTGGCATCAGTTGGGACTAGCACGACCATGTAACCTCAGATCAGTAGCCTGACAGTAGACATGCTCCTGATCTATGGCTTACCCGATCAATCGCCCATGCGCACTACTGTACAAGGGCTACTGGGAACTCGTACACCAGAAGATTCCAGCCAAGAAACCAACCTCTTGAAGTTCCACCACAGATGTCTTTTCACTTGATTACGCGAACAAGAAGGGGACGAAATTTGTAATCGAAGAAGTCGGAAATCGCTACGTATTTACTAATTGCTAATTGGGTACTAAAGCACTACTAATTGCAGACTGTGACCAATCGTTTCGACTACAGCCCAAAAGAGAAGAGTGCAATCATTTGGGCGGTAGCATTTGGTACCATACTTGGAGCATTCCCAGTAAACTATGCATACATCAAACATGGCGCCAGGTAACAAATGCCAGAGAGGTTTTCGTTCAAAAAACAACGGTCACGCTCTGAAATTCGACTTTTTCACAGAAAGAAGCCTTTCTAGTTTCGTTCAGAAAAGTGATTTCAGATGGCCATTTTTCATATCCGGCATGATGTCCGTATTTTCGACGGCAGTCATTCCTATGGCTGCTCAACTCGGCCTACCAATCCTTATTATTTTCAGGTTTCTGCAGGTAGGCTTTAATTTGAGATTTATCACTTGTATCACTTGCCTTCCCGTTGATCATCGACTTTCTCGAGCAGGCGCCAGTAACGTCTCCATTCGTCCCTGTCACAAGCCAGAGTGGTTCAGTGAATCGTTCTCGCTTCAGGGACACGAGGTCCAACATTCCTTTCGTTCAGAGCTTTCGTGAAGAGGTCTGACCATCTCGTTGGCGGCTTTACTGGAGTTCGTTTGATGTCCCGAGGGATCCAGTCAGTGACCGCCCTGGTCCAACGGTCATCACTATATCGCATAACGTGTCCGGTCCACCTGATCTTCGATTTCTTGGCGTAATCAACGGCATCCCTGATCTTCGTCCGGTGACGGAGCTCGGAACTCCGGATTCCCTTCTGCACTTGCGTGTATAGGGAAATTCCGAGCATCGTCCTTTCCAAAGTGCGTTGAGTAACGCTGACAGCATGCTCATCCTGCTTTCGTAGAGTCTTTCGTAGAGTAGAGTAGAATTTGAGATTTATATACAATGTATTTACTATTTCAATCTGGAATACTAGAGATATACATACCTCTTGTTGTTCATAGTCTCTACCTCGATCGGATCTGAACTACTGATGTCTCCATGAAAAACGGCTGTACTGAAACTTAACTCGCAGTTTGAAAAACCTTCTTTATCCGCGGGATACGTAACAGTCTTTTAGTGCACATTCCATGACAAGATAAACAACAACAACCTCCTATTCAAGGTTAACTCAAGGAGGTCGTGTTGTTACTACATGGTACACGAAGTCGAATCATTTTCTCTACCCTCCAGTCGCACCGAATTCCACTCTTTGATGCATGTGGAGCGAGCATAATGCCCAAGTGGGGTATAATGAGGCCTGAAGAGTGTCATTAGCCGAAACCGATCCATTTTTCAATCCTGAGTTTGATTAAAGGTTTCTTTTCAGACATTGATATGCATTACAATCACCTCAAACAAAACCACTTCATTTTAAAGGGAACTGTAACACTTTTAGGTGTGCAACTGAGCTACCTCGTGGGCCGGCTCAGTTGCACGCCTAACTGTAACCATTCGACTGAAGCTTTTGTTGAGCATTGATTTAGAGATTAAAGCGGGGACGGAAGGCGTTAAATGTACCCGGAAATTGGGCTGCTTATATACAGGATCCGGTAGGCGGTGTCGGGTATTCGGGAGAAACTTTCGAATCTCGCATCTGGGCTTTCGCCCAGAAGTTGATCAGGACCGACGGTTTAATTTTGCTTCCCTGTATTCGCGGCAAAGGGTTATGACTGGTTGGAGAGCTAAAGGCAAAACGCTCACCCAAACCTAAACGGAGAACAGACCCTCCGTACTTATGCTTTCTGTAAACAATGTCGTAAATCCCTCGAACAACCAAAGCCCAGGATCTTGCCCGTGACTCGGCAGCCTGTAATAAAGGAAAACCCTTAAATCACTTCCTTGGAAAACAGTATTGATGGTGTTGCTGTACAGGAAGGGAAAGACAGACGGGAACTAGGGCATCCCTGCAAACTGTCGGGGCAATTACTTCTCGAACCCTGAAATATTCTGCAAGGGAATCATGCTACCCTTTGAGGGAGAAAGGGTCTTTCGAGCATTCAAACTTTGTCAGAGTTAATGTTGGTTCGATCAAGCCCGACAAACATTTCTAAACATGTATCTAGGTGCTGAACTCGACACTATGAGCAACATAACTATACAGCTGTGCAAGCGGAACCGAACGAGATGACAAGCCACCGAGGCAGGGTGGAAGAGGCAAGGAAGATCCAGCTCTGACTTTTGGCATACTCCTAGAATCCTTTTTACAAAAACATCTATAGATTCCGGACTTCAAGCAATCGAAATATACACTCGATCACCCCAAAAAAGCGCTAGATCGGGGAAAGGCCCGCAGTTTGTTGATATTCGCAGGATTTCGTCAACGACTGAAGATCACGGACGGTGCTGAACGTAAAAGGTAAAGTTTAGGTGGGAGGACAAGATATACAATGACGGTGATGACCTTATCTGGACCCTTCAGAAAATCACCTCAGTTTGATGCCAAGACGTTTAGAGTATCGCATACGAGTTTGTCACACTCCTTCATAAAAACAAAGGTCTAAAGAGAAATGGTTTCTGCATCCTAGGGTGGAAAGCGTAACGGTTTACATTGACCTGCAACGAGACCTAGTGTGAATGTCAACAGTCCACTACAGCAAACCTATGATCAACAGATTGACCGCGACTACAGGATCGCTAGACTGGCTCAAGAGGAATGCTTAGAAAGAATCACAAGAATGCAGAGTTATGAGCAGAACTGCAGAGGACTAGGGTTTGGACGAGTTCGAATCCCTGTTTGTACTTTTGTGTCATCGTGCTCTTTATCCCTCACAAGTCCGAGGCCCTGCTTGCCCTCACATTTCGAACGATCTTACAGCATTACCTTATCAGCACTCATACGACAAATGGCTATAGACGAACGGCTTCGCGAATTTATTCCGATATCGACTAGGCAGCCCGAAAATATGAGCACTGGCTCATGTTCTGTTTGAATCTGAGAGTTTTCAGTATAGCTCTCAAACAAGAGTCCTCAAACAATGTTGGGTCACATCAAGACGACTGAGACAAATCTTGTTAGACTTCGCTGATACGGGAACTCTTTTTATACCTCAAGACTCGTATTTCAAGATCTTGATAGTAGGGGAATGCTCAGAAAGGATCAGTGGCATTCTGAAAAAGGCTATCACGAATATTTTATGTAAATATCAAAACCTGCCTCCTTTCATTGCTCAGATAGTCTCTGACAGTCGGTCTCAACTGAAACTCAATACTAATTACTGAAGACAACCGATTCAATGAGCACTTTCAGGGTCTTGCATACGCAGCTGATTTTGCGGCTATCGGGATCCTCTGCGTAAGGTGGGCTCCACTTTCTGAGACAAGCCTCTTCATCAGCATTCTTACTTGCTTTACACCGATCTCCACCGTCGTTACAAATCCGCTCTCTGCTTGGGCAAGTTCTAATTCTACTTTACGTTTTCATTAGGTTATGCAAGAGTCTTGACACACGCGGGTGCACGTGTTTTGAATTCTTTTGCAATTTACTCCTTCAGTTTTTGTACTGTATTGATCATGTTCTCTTTCCAAAAGAGGAGAATCATAAGTCATGAAAGCTAGTAGTGGCATTTTTGAGGGGAAAAAAGTGGCGAATTTTTTTTAGTTGTAAACTGCCTAATGGTGAGAGGTGATTATTAGGGGAGAAGCAAGAGTCGAGAATGATTCCCAGTGAGACGAGGTCAGTGGAAAAGGTGGGGTGTGAAACGATATTCCAGGTAATTTCTGTAACCTGGACTGCTTCGTCTTTGCGACGTGTAATCGAGCATTAATATGCAGAAAGTGAATAGAAATCATCCTCGATTCTTTGCTTTTATTGCATGAGCGAGCTCTTAGAGCTGATTACCGGAGGTGGAAGCTATGATGTCTGGTCTTGAGGTGGCAACTGGTGTTTTAGCGATCTCCTAAATCCTAAAAGTAAAAGTCAAAAATTCCTATACATGTGAAGTTGCGCCTCAAGACTTTCGCAACATCCTAATAGTTTACTTTCCAACGATAGGTTTTTCATCAGGAGCAATTCCCCAGCAGTCAAACTGATTTAATGAAGTGTGGCTAGAAAAAAACTCTATAAATCTAGTGCTTAAACCAAACTCAAGTGGTTCACAAGATGCAATGAAAAGCTCTGCTTGGGTACTCACTTTACATCGGTGCCGGTAGAACTTTGGGAAGGTGTTTTCTCATTACAAAGGCTCGCAGGCTTGCTGGTGGCCTTTGTCCGTCTCGCCATGAGCATTATCGGGCCACTCTGTAGCCACTTCCCATTGACAAAATGGGAATCAACCGTCATTCGGACTATGTAAGGGGCGCGCTTCGTTGCGCGCGTTCGTCGGTCACGCCGCAGCCGTCGCATGGGCCGCGTCAGCCCGCGCTCTTTGACAAACGTCGCAGTCGTCTGTGGGGGGGGGGGGGGGGGGGGACGGTCAAGTAGTGCGTCCAAGGACGCGCGCGGCAAATTGCGCGGCGAAGTTCGTGGCCAATTTGGACGACTGCGGCGTTTATAATTGTGGCCCAAATGTGAAGTAAAGTAGATCAGGAAGATTAGCTGATCCCCATAATCTTCTTCACCTCAAATTTAGGCCACAATGATAGACGCTAAAGTCGCTCAAATACCATGAATTTCGCCGCGCTATTTGCCGCGCGCATCCTCGGACGCACGACTTGACACATACCCGTCTGTGGGGCATACAATTTGCGCTCGGGCCACAGCAGTCAGCCAAAGGGAAGATAACACGGACTAATACAAATCCTTCGCTCTTTTGACACCTGGTGGTACTGTGATGTCATGTCAAGTCCTCAGTTGGGAAGCGCCACGCGAGGAGTGGGCGCGGTGACCTACTTTCGACGGACGCGTGTCACGGGCGTTCTCCACCGCTAGGAGACAATGAAAATTTTCTTTTAGTAGCTGTATGTACGCGAAATGAGTGATGTTTCTAGCATTCATGGAATGTGTGGTTAACCTCTAAAGTGTTCTGTGCTCCCTTGCCATGAGTAGGTCTGGAAAAATGTTTGCGACATAAAATATCACAGTTCCCACATGCCGTACGATGGCGACTGATTATGCAGATCTGTTTGTAAGAGGAAAATTGTAACGAAAAATGTCATGCAACAATTTCCTTTTTGCCGAATGAATGAGTGAATTCAAGCTATTTCAGCTATGTTCAACAAATCTCGGCTGGCGCTCAGCTTTCTATGTACACGCTGGATTTGGTTTTTTGGTATTTTTATTGTGGATCGTTTCCTACCAGGATGACCCACAGTTACATCCATGCATCAGTGAAAAAGAACTGGAGATAATTCAAAGGAACAAAACACATGCACACATCTCGCGAGATAGCTTCGTGCCATTCAAGGTAGGTCTTCATCATACTCCAACCTATGGCAGAAGGAATTTCTGCGGTTGCTCTGATATCAACTCAGATGAAGCTTTCACTCCTAATCTAATGGTAAGCATAAAGCTCAGTGATGCATTTTCTCCGGCTTACCCTGGCATATATTCGACGTTGGCCAGAATGGCCTACCTTCCCCCTTGAATATCATCCCGTCTCTTTGTCACTGGAGGTGCCTTTTGCATGTGGAAGTACTGGGTTACAGGTTCGTTCGGTATCTAACTTTTCCTCTCAAGTTCATGCCACCTGGCGGTCTCTATGCCTCAGTGGCTTCCACAATACAAAGTCAGGGCTGGGCAAACTTGGGTTTTCTTTTTAAATGAATTAACACACAAATAAATAATGTAGTGAGTTGGATTATTTTTTTCATGTATTCATACTGCTGGGTATTATTCCTGTTCTTATAGGCTAAAATATGTAGGTTCGCTGTTTCTAACTTTGTTTTGCGCATTGCCTCAGCTTGGACCGTAAGGCAAAGACGGTATATTCTGTGAGTGTTCCCAACTGACCTAAAGACCCTTCTTCTTATGGAACTGATCTGCACACCTCCAAATTCCTCTATGTTTAATGTTTGATGGGGATGCTAGGTGATTCGTTTCGTATTCTTCGTCGTTCGTATCTTATACGAGTTGAACTACACCTCATATGCTCTGAGAGATCACGTGGGTTTTTGGTTTTTTGGCTTCACCAACAATTAATTTTTGGGTTTGTTCCTCATTTCACCGTTAACACAATATACAGTAGCGCTCAAAAGTATTCGGCCAAAGGCTTTTACGCTTTTCTTTTCCTACCTTTTTTCTTAGTGGTGCAGATTGCGCGAAATTTTGATATGTTCAACTAAGACATATTTCTTACCATCCACACTACTTGAGTGGGAAGCACCAATATCCGCATAACTAAAAGCAATACTTGTTGCGGTAGCAGATTTCGCCAGATGCAGAATTATTGACTTCTACAATTATTCGAACCTTACATGTGATTTTCCCCTTCACTGTGTTCGGCATTAGCGCTTGTACACTTCAGACATGGCAAAAGGGAAAGAAATTTTAGAACGATCAATGCGCGTATTTCCAGATGATTTTGGATTCAAGCTATTCGGAATATTTGGATCATGATCACATTATAGTTTAATAGTGGTAAATATTCACAATACATCCGTGCTACGCACATTGAAATTTCGCTTGATTAGATCCAGTAGAAAAGGAGATACGACTGGAAAATACGACAGAAGATGCATTTGGCTGGCCGAATAGTTTTGGGCACTACTGTACATATAGGCCTCAGCCACTAATATGATATAGAATATTGAACATAGATTCACATGACTGTTGAAGGTAAGGGCACCCATCCTAAAGGCACAGTTCACGATAATTTTGAGCTACCCCTTTTGTTCAAAAAGCGGAAGTATAGGTTGGAAATAGTTCGTCGTTAGTGAAGAAAGCGAGAAAAATAGCTATTTTTGAGAAAATGAAAACCCCTCAAAAACGGGGGGGGGGGGGAATAAGGGTTGGACGAGATTTCCATGACGGAAATGACATGAGAGGGGTGTTCGGGTTGCGCAAAGAACTGTAAAATATTTCCATTCACTCTCGCTATAGGTCATGGTAAGTTGCTTGAGCCTCTTTCATCGGTTCCATTGTGACTGGTGCAGCCACTGCAGTTCCGGTGAAACTCGTCTGGGGACACACCCGGTACTATCTGTGAGCCTTCATAGCGTCCTAACTAAGCAGTTTTCCGACCTGATAGCGCCACATACGTATACGACGGGGCCTCAAGTCCATCCGATATGAATCCATTTTTACCATGAACTGTACCTTTGAGGCCGTTTGAGGGTTACTCGGTGGAAATTCTACATCAAACCAGAGACAGTTCAGAATGCGTCCATACTGAGTCGTGTGCCATTGAAATAGGCCCCCGTTGTTGATATAGGAAGTTTTGAGACGTTTTACCTATTACCACTCAAGGAACCCGGAACTCGTAACGCAGAAGAACTTCAATGTATCATCAGACAGACGTTCGAATCCATCTCTTCGCACACAACCTGATCTTTCAGACTTCACGGAGGAAAAACAAATTCAGCCATTCACGACAAAAATTAGCAACACCGTTGTTAATTGGTTACAGAGACCTTCACCGATATAAAGAATTACGAAGTCCAAAATGTTGAGGGATTGCCATCTCCTGTATCACCTGTCATCCCGTTGATCTTCGATTTTCTTGAGCGGGCGTCAGTAACGTCTCCATTCGTCGCTGTCGCGAGCCAGTGTAGTACGCGAGCGTACTCGCTTCAGGGGCACGGAGCAATATTCCTTTCGTTCAGAGCTTTCGTGAAAAAGTCACCATCTCGTTGGCGGCCATCCTGGTGTTCGCTTGAAGTCCCGAGGGATCCAGTCAGTAATCGTCATGGTCCAATGGTCATCGCATGACGTGCCCGGCCATCTAATTTTTCCCTTGGCGTGCTTAGTAGAAGGTGATGGTACGAATTGGGTGTTGTCCATTCATTGACCGTAGTGCTGCAAAAGCCCGCAGCACTACGGTCAATGAATGTGCCCTTATTTACTCATATGTTGATTGCCCGGAGAATGTCCTACAAGTTTATCACCCTTGCTACCGTGTTCCCAGTTGATACAAATTTTCAATGCTTCGAATTTTTTGTCGCAGGACTTATTTGCCAACCTAATATTTGATGCAATTGCATTCTCAGGCTATTCTCAAAGACAAAGTAATCTTAATTGTATGGTTCAACGCATTTGTGGAGATGGTGACCGTAACACTGTTGCTTGTTTATGCACCCACATACTTTCACGTTGTACTTGGATACGATATACCTACTACAGGTTCGTTCAAGCTTAGCGTTGTTGGTCTATTCCATTTTAGAGCTAGCCGTGTTATTTGCAATTCTAACTATGGTCGTTAAGGAGTACTTGTCTCCTTTGCCGCGTGTATTCATTTACCGCTGAAATTCGTTGGAGGTGTTCTCAGCGACCGAATAAGGTGAGATGAGCACGCTAAGATACAGGCTCGGTGATCTTCAATTACTAGTTTGATAAAGAATCTTGATGGGGCTTTTTGAAAAGTGCAGGATTTTAAATTTATACCTATATCCATGATTTCTCATTTGATGCATGTGGAACATTTTGGAACCTTATTCTCAAAGGGTATATAAGGGCACATGCGCCTACTTGAGTTTATAAACGATGAACAACACAATTTCGCAAGACTATCTTTGAGCCATCATCTTTTATGGTTGGCGCCGAGGCACCGGAGCGACAACAGCAATACACAACATCAACAGTGCATTGGGAGAGGACACCACATCCATCGCTAATATCCATCGCAGGTTCGCTCGCTTCAAGGAAGGAGACACGGGCTTCGAAGACAAATCTCAGTAGGGACGCCCCTCGCCGTGACAACTCCGTCGTTCTCGACACCATCGGAGAGGATCTGGAAGATTACACCTGCTCTTGCGACGAGAAATGGGTGTGCCCAATCAACAGTCGTCATTCGCCTTCAAGCACTCAGTTACAGAAAAATACTGGCGAGATGGATACTTCATCTCTTGACCGGTAGCATGCGGTACACCCGAGTATCGATTTGTCAGTCCCTCCTACGCCCACATCGCAAGGAGTTCCTAAAAATCATAGTTACTGGAGATTAAAGCTGAAACTCTACGACGCTTACAGTTGCCACGCTATCTAGCTCCAGCGAATAGACGCCAAATCGATTAGCCAAATTTGACGCGGGCCGAATCCGGATTCCACCTCAAAGAGTTTCTCTTTGCTGCTTCTGTACTTCACTACTAACCGCTCAAGCAAGGTCACACCGTCACCGCTCCCTATAACGCTCGTCAGCTACAGAAACTTGCGTAGGAATAAAGAGAGAAAAAGAAAAAATGGGAAAAGAAGAAGAAGCGAAGAACGGCCTGGACAAATTTTCCTACACTTCTATGACAACGCTGGGCCTCACGTAAAAAGACCCGCGCAAAATTGGAGGAGCTAGGCTGGGACACGATTCCAACCCCTCCTATTCGCCTGTTTAGCCCGTTCAGCTTAATACTTGTTCCGGCCCCTCAAGGCTTTCCTAGCAAAAAACAATTCGTCAACTATGGTCACCTTTAACAAGTGGTCAATGACTTGTTTGGCCGATGTCGATGACTTCACAATCATTTTCCCATTTCTAGGAGGAAAGATTCGACCTGCTCAATTTCAGTTGGGACAATGTTATAACTAACGATGATTATTATTTTGTTGATTAGCTCGCGTTGTTTGCTAGTTGTAAAATAAAACAGAAAAAAATCTCAACTCTTTCATAACTTTCTGATTAACCTAATATCTCAGGGGTGGAACTGAGTCACTGGCGGGACATCAGTTTCGACACCACCTCGAATCTAAAGTAGAGCCCGCGAGCCTAAGGTGCAGGTTCAAAGCGAGCGAACAAGGTCTAAGTCTCGCCCGTAACTCAGAACTTTCCGGAGACTTTCGCATCACAGACTGCCTCGAAAAGTAGAAGTTAAGATAATTTATTAAGTGAAAAGAGTTGCTGAATTATTAATCACTTATTTTGTTAAACGTCTGGTCGCAGTCGCCTGTGGTTTCATACTGATAATGAATGTTAGAGATTGCTCTGCAGTTTCACCTAAATAAAGACTTAGAATTGCTTCACCTGCTACACTTATGATCCCATTAATCCTAGATTTGCTCAAGCGGATGCTAGTGACGTTTACATCCGTCTCTTGTGTTAGTGAAGTTCAGTGTAACTTCCTAGCCTGAGGTGCACCAAAATTACCTTTTAAAGCCGTGGTGAAGATGTCTTACATTTTCTCTCTCAACAGTGTATCGACGTGTAACTATAAAGCAAAATCGAGGCGTAAGTTTTCGAGCTGCACCATGGTACCTGAGGGATTTTCTCAACATCAGCTTAATGGAATGGACAAACTGGCACACAGTCATCTTTGTTTGCGCTTTCATATTGATGTCTATCTTTGTTCACATGCCCTCACAGCTGTGCTCATCTTATATCTTGCTCGAAGAGTGAAAAGGAAATAGTAAATTTCAATGAAAATGTGGCTAACATAAAGTTCAACGGACGTACAAATCAAACACATGCATTCAGTTAGTCCGCTCCACCAACTATGCTAGTTTTTTACCGTTATCACATTCGACCTTCAAAAGTTCCTACTATCCTTTTTTCTAAATTGAGCAAACACTTAGGCAGAAGCGTTGCAGCACTTCTATTTTATTCCCCTAAGTTGCATTTCTTTGCTGATATAAGCACTGCATTGTTGAGTTATCAGCAAAGTCTTCGATGTGTTGTATTTGATCTTGTATTAATACCTACCTCTTGAACACCGCTTATCTTTTGAACATTACACAATCCCTCAGGCCTTATTTCAATTTTCACTGATACATTCGGAAAGGTGCAAGAGCAGTTCATTTATAGTGAAATTAATCCCTATTCAAAATACTGCTAAAACTCATCAAGCTTTTTCCTAGAGGGTGAGTTACATTACTTTGGAGGTGCGCTTTTTCACGATACTTCTACAATCTTGCCATTTTGAGCGAAATATTAACAATGTTTCAGAAGCGTTCCAGAACGCTCAAAAATGATCTTCTTTAACACAATAGCTGTTGGAATTGCTGGTGTCTTTTGTGTGATGATCGGCATAATTCCTGAAGACTGGTCGAAATCTGGAGTCGCCTTGTTTACATTGGTCATCACCTGCATGGGCATGAATCCTGGAGGCTTTTATAAATGTGGAACTTTAGCATCACGGTTAGCCTCCTTTGTTCGCCGTTACCTTGCTTACGCTTTGGGGAGTAATACGTCCCCAGTTCATTAGTGAAAGGGATGATTCTGAAAATGGCTAGTCAACTTTCCAGGCAAAAAACTCATCAGCATCATCGATTGAGTTTAGGAGCAACCCATGCTCGGTGTAACTTCATTGCATGTTCGCTAAAAACACTGTTTTCCATGGTGCTCACCCTTTTAAGAGTTTTGGAAAAAGGCAGCTCAGATTAGGGCGTCCCTCAGAGGCACATTTTTCGATAAAAATGGTTCCTGAGATTCTCCTCTAGTATGAATTCGAGCTTAGTAAGGTCGAAAGCGTTCTAAGGCACCATAAGGGGTCAGAGATTGTATCGTGTGAATGCCACACCCGTGGGGAACGAGTTTCGATGGCTTGGTGGAGACGTACTCTCAGGACTCTCTCAAACAACTTGGCATAACCATGGCTGCGGTGGAAGGCAGTTTCGGACATCGACTTGATGTTGTCATCTCTTTGCGCAATGGGAAAAAAAAATCAAATCTCGCCCAAACACCCCTTGCGTGCCCTTCCCGTCATGATAATCTCGCACAACCTCCACTTCCTCTCTTTTAAAAAACCTTGAAGGAGGCGGAATCTCTCGCCACCGAAGTACTTCTCTGCATAAACGATTCCGCTTTTCAACCTAAAAAGGGCACCTCAAAATTATCGTGAACTGTTGAACTTCAATGAAACACGGTAGAGGCAAGTCATAAAAACGATTCAACCACACTCTATTTCAGGCAATATGCACATTTTGTGTTGGCTACCATACAGTTTATGAAATGTGTAGCATTATTCGTCGCTCCTGCTACGGTCGCTTTGCTGGTACAGGACGAGCGACGTCATGACCAGTGGAGATACGTGTACTGGATAAATGGTGTGCTGCTCATCGCGGTAAATACATTCATATTAAAGAGCCGAATTTGCAATTTAAGGCACGCGTTACTTTACAAGATTACAAAGGCTATTACGGAAAATGAGAAATACGAAAAAGTGACAATATGACAATAAGACTTGTGCTTATTAGTACCAGATCCATTTATTGCTCCTGCAGGCCAACTTCATCTTTATTCCAATTGCCACCGACAAGCCAGCCTCGTTCACCTTGATTACGAGAGCTACACAAAACGAAGATACGGCATCATCTCGCGCTGATAAGGTACTACTATGTTACCTGGCTTATGGAGGACCTGCTGGAATTGGTTCTATTACAATTTTAAAGTTTCAGGAAGTGAGAGCGAGAGGACGAGCATCGATGCCGAGAGACAACGCAAAAAATGGTAATGTGGCGGAAGAAGTCTGAGGACACATCCACTTCCCTTCTGTAAACATTTATGAGACTTTTCTTTTTGTTGAGTTTCTGAAATAGCTTGCAACGATAAAAGGGAACACTGATCTAGGGTGAAAGGTAGAAATTTATAGTAATTCAAGGGTATTGTTGAAAGACTGTGGAAAGTCAGTTTTTAGATTGCTTTTCAAATTGTCAATGCAAAAATAAAGGCATCTATTTCTGAAGAAAATGTGTACTTTGGTCAGGATCGAATTTGGAAGCTAACAGTTCACCCTGTGCTGATCAAGTGCCATGAAAACTATCTCATTGATCCTTGTGAGCCGGTAAGTCTGATAGTTACCACGAATCGGAATTTCCTCTATGATTACTGGTCCCATCACATGCCGATCTTGCCGCTTTAAGCCTAGCAACCACTGCATCGATACCCTATTTTTTTGAAAAATCAGAACGCTTTGTACATAGAAGCACTTCAGATTCTATGAATGTGTTCTCCTTTGAGTTGATTGACTGTTTAGTATATGGCAATAAATGTTAGAGAATTGTTCGTGTTGGAGAAGAATGGTATCGGAGAATGGCCACTGCAGACAAATGATAGAAGCAGTACTTAGGAGATAATTTACGAATTTCCTGAGCAGTTGAATCAATATTTTAAGTCTTAGTTGGGAAAATATTGTGCGGGTCGAAGTAGTTACCAAGAAGTTCATTAAATTGTATTGCTTACCTTGACTAAAATGTAAACTTACCTTAGCCCTGCATTCACTGTGTACTGCTTTGATTATGCACTCTTTTGTATGTGTATCGTAGATCGTAGCACACTAGGTGCACAATCGCGTAAATTGATACTCAGGGTAACGCGGCAATTTTGTGCGGGAAAACACAGTGCTAGGAGTCATACTGCCCGGGAAGAACACTTGTTTGCGTCCATCACTGCCACTGTGCGTCCGTGTGGAGTCGCCTCCATTGCTGCTAGCCCGAAGCCGTCCGTGAGGAGTTCGTGCCGCTGTTGTTGCCACGAAGCCGCTGCAACCACTTCCCTAAGTGTCTCAGGCGGTTGTAAATTGTTTTATTGTATGAGGGTCTTTGGTAAGGACTTTTTATCTGTTCTATCGCGTTGTTTTCTTTTGTGTGTAAACAACAAATTGATTTTGTGAGACGATTTTTTTAGTTGACCACCTCCCAACGGTTATAACCGTTTCCATACCTACGCTTGTCCAACTTGGGGGTCAAACCGATGAGTTGTTTTATCATTCGCGGCTTCAAGGCTGATCGCTGGATCTGACGAGGATCATAGAGTATGGCTGGAGAATCGGAAGACAGATGGAATAGAAACACGTCGAGCAGTCGGTGCAAAAGGCACAGGAGCATGGCCGTGCAGTAGTCGTGGTGCCCGCAGTTTTGCACAGGCTCAAGCATTGTTTGACAAGCAGTCAGTGATTTCCTATCACAAGTCGTTCTGGAAGGTCGGAGCTACGAATACAACCCTTTTTGCGGACGATGTCGGAAAAGTGGTCTATGTGCTGCCCCAAAAGGAACCGGCGGATCCGTTCTCGTGGTTGCAGTCCGTGAACGCGATAAACTTGTGGTTGACGCGTGAAACGAACGTGATTGTTGTCAACGGACCCAGATCGTCAGAACTCAACAGCTGGGGCAGAATGAACGAAAAAGCAAGAAATCATTCAAATAGGTATGTAGACACGTATCCAGCATTTCTCAGCCAACTGCACTACTTAATACCATCGAAGCCAGGTGTTCTCAGCTCGGCTATGGCCTGTCTGAAAGTTGGATTGGTTCATAACCAAAGTAGGTAGTGGACCTCGATCAGGCAATCGAATTCTATGAATTCCTCAGGCACCAAGTGAAGGAAATCGTGCAGCTGGAGTCCTTCAAGGTTCTGAAAGTTTTGAGACCAAGAAGTAATCCGTCGGTGGTTGTTAGTGCGCAGTCGTCAGGGAGGCCGATAAAGGATGGACGAGTTTCCAAGCGCCATTTGAAGCGTGTGGAAAGAAGGAAACTCCGAAATCTGAACCAAGTATGGAATAGCGTACAGGGCTGAGCAAGAAGCTAGTTGGATCTGAGGACAGATTTTTTTTTCTGAGGGGGAACATGTGCGGGTCGAAGTAGTTACCAAACTAGGCATTAAATTGTATTGCTTACCTTGACTAAAATGTAAACTCACCTTAGCCCTGCATTAACTGTGTACTGCTTTAATTATGTACTCTTTTGTATGTGTATCGTAGATCGTAGCACACTAGGTGCACAATCGCGTAAATTGATACCCAGGGGAGTGCGGCAATTTCGCGCGGGAAAACAAAGTGCTAGTAGTCACACTGCCTGGAAAGATCACTTTTTTTGCGTCCGTCACTGCCGCCGTGCGTCCGTCTGGAGTCGCCTCCATTGCTGCTAGCCCGGAGCCGTCCGCGAGGAATTCGTGTCGCTGTTGTTGCCACGAAGCCGCTGCAACCACTTCCCTGAGTGTCCCAGGCGGTTGTAAATTGTTTTATTGTGTGAGGGTCCTTGGTGTGGACTTTTTTCCGTTCTATCGCATTGCTTTTGTGCTTTTGTGTGTAAACAACATATATATCGATTTTGTGAGATAATTTCAAGACTAACGTCGTTTCTTCATTCTGCCCTCCCTGTGTCTTGCCCGCGAGCAGCGGCGTTCGGTGACCTGGTCGTCCACTACATTTTTTCTTTATAATAATTGTCATCTAACGTCGTTACTACTCCTTCTAATTCGACTGCTGAACTCGGCATCGCTCTTAGTCGCAAGGGAGTGTAAGATACTGGTATTAATTTGCGACTCATCAGGTGAATTGTTAAACTGGTTCCACTTGTACTTATTGAGGCGATCGATCATGTGGCTATTCGTTGATGGTCACCATCGATCGTGTCAATTATGGACGCCGGTGTCTAGTGTTCTTAAGAGTGTGAATCGACCGAGAGTTGGGACTCCTGATGGGCCGATTCCATCGCCAGAACTTGTGGACATAATCAAGCAAGTCAATGGAACGAGGACTATAACTGACTACGTCAAGAAGCTTGTCAATATCAAGCCAGCTAAGTGCAGTGATTCATGAAAATGCTCTACTTCGCCAAATTCTTGAAGCTTATAAGGATTTGGATAGGGAGAACAAGAAAGTCAAAGAGAGGTTGTGCTTTTATGAACAAATGGATTAGGTTGAGGCTAGTGTAAGATCTCCTAACAATGATTCCTTCTTGATGAAGTCTGTGTCGTATGAAGATATTGAAAGAGAAGATCTATTATAATCAGAGGCGTGCTAGAGCTTAATTCGGCCAACTCTCTCGATAAAATACAGTACGATTTTAAATGTGTCGTTATTAGTTCATCTCTATGTTACTTGTCTTCCTGTTACTGTTTACAAGCTAGGTAAGGTGATACCTGGCTGAAATAGATTGAACAAAGTAGTACTGCCGTGCTCAAAGTTTCAGAAATTAACTGCAAAGCGAGCTCCCCGTCTCCGCAGCTTTCCTCAGGTAATCTCTGCCATTGAGGAGAGGATGCGGAAACGGGAGGGCCGCTTAGGTGCTCTTCCTATGTCAGTTGTTAATTCGCTTAATACTATTCAGCATTCTAGAATAGTTATGGTAATGTTACTCTTACATCTCTTCTTCCTGTTGTGGATCGTAACGATACGGTTTTCTCAAATGATGACAATGGAAATAGGGGAAACTAGTGGATGTTCAGCGGTTGAGTGACCAGCCATCCAAAGTTCGACATCGATATTGCCCTTTTCCTCCATCCGCGACACTTGATCATCCAGGGGTCATGAAATGTTTTCTAACCAATGTACGTTCACCGGTAAAAAATGTCCAATCCTTCCAACACGTCTTATCTAAAGCTGATTACGGCCTAATTGCCCTATCTGAAAAATGGTTAAAAGTGGGACCGATATTCAGTGTCTAGTAGGTGATCTGACTGTTAATTATGAGGTTTTTAGGTGAGATCGTCAGCGGAAGAGGGGTGGGATGTCGCTTTACTAATCAACCACGCCTTCTGCTCTGTCTTTGTTTTTAGTGAGTCAGTTCCGTGCGATTATGAGGTAGTCGTGGTGGACTCGCACATTAAGGATATCAAGATAAGAGTTATTCTTTGTCACAGAACCCCTAGTTGTGCTGTTGAAATAATTGATAAGTTAATAAAATGTATAAGTGATGTCTCAGTAGGTAACAGGTTCTCTCCTTATGGGACACTTTAATATGCCGGAGATTGATTGGTTGGATCGCAGTCGCCAAATGTCGGGTGTAAGTCAGAGATATCCGGATGTGGTCCAAACTTCCAAACTCATGGTTTTCATCAATACGTAAAAAAGAGCACCAAATGTACTATGATTTTCGATCTTCTTTTTTGAAATCAAAAGTCACTTGTTGTCGGAATAGGGGTGGAGGATCCACTAGGTTCTAGTGACCATACTACCATTCAATTTGGACTGCAAATTCGTGCTGATAAGAGGAAGTATGTTGTTTAATGCGATTTCGAGGTAGCTGATTATAAGAAAATTTCAAGTTTTCGAGATTCTGTAGATTGGTATGGTTCCTTATCTGGACTAAGCGTTAACGACATGTATGACAGTCTCTTTTCGTCCTGCAGCAGGTCATAGCCTTGTTCGTTCCCTCACGGGAGGTCAGATTGCGGAAGGCTCGTGTCCCCACTTTTCTTAACTCACTTTACGGGGGAAAGGCAAAGTTATGTAAA